AAAATTTTTATATAATTAAAATATTTATGAATTTACGTTTACATACATATCTCAGCTTCCACCGATTCAAATTAAATTATATTTTAATATATTATAGATTGAGATTGTATTAAGATTATATGAAATTTTAAACTAATTCTGATCGGTGCATCTTGAGATATACGATGTCAAACTTAGTGTCCGGAAACTTTTAGCCACCCTCTGTATTGAATGAACCTACTAGGTAGTAATATCTATGATTCTTGTCTATAGCCTTAAATTTTAACCCATAAGTTACATGTAGTGCTGAGTTCAGTAAACCAAGTTTTGCCTGATCTGTTTTTAATCCTGATTTTTTAGCTCTACATGATGCATCTGTATTATCAAATACTCGAGCCATTCTGGAAAATAAACCCTGAAGATATAATATCGATTCAGGAGAATTCAGACGCATCTTAATATCATCAGATTTATATCTGACTCTATCATAGATATCTCTAGCTGGCGTGCAAATCTTTAATAATTCTAGACAAATCCGATACTTCTCAGCCCGGATTATAGTTGTAAGCCTATCTTCTCTGTAATCTTTGTGAGTGATAGCCTCAATAGCCATTCATTGTTAGTATCCGCATCTCGTAATTGCCTATAAGCTCTGAACCATTTCATATGATTATAATTTCTGTACTTAGAGATAAAATCTTCAGTTAATATTTCAGGTGAAATCTCATAACAATCCATAATATGATGCTGGTCTAAAGAGCGCATCTCTTTCTAAAGTTTTCTTTGGCTTATTCTCTAATAATTCAGCAGTCTCATGATTGATAATAGTAGCATTAGATATATCTGATACTTCCTTCGCTTTAACAATAGAACACTTTGCTTTTACCACTTGCGATAATGTATTTTCTTCAGATTTAGGACCAGATTCTATGATCGAAACTTCTATACCAACTTTTTGAAGGAAATCAACCATTCTTCAACCAAATAAGCGTCTGGAACGAAATTTTTCTAACATATATGCTACCCATAATCGAATAGTTGATACATCCTTATTCCAGATGATAGAGTCTATATCAGAAAATATTCCTCTATTCTAAAGTTCTCAGGAAAGATATTTTCGTTTGGTATTCAATAACCATTGGAATAATCCTTTTTCTGTAATGGGAATATTAGACGATCTTTGTTTAATATGACATATATAGTCTTTGATACACTGCATGCAGAATAACATCTGATTCGTCCCAGTATTCATTTCTATATAACTGTTAAAGATGCAGAACTCCTATTCGAACTTGTGATTAATGCAAGATACTCCTATTTTTAGAGTGCTAGTATAGGCAACTAGGTCTACAACTTTCCATACTTATTTGATATTACTAAAATCATGAGCCTTTTCTACTGGATCAGATTTGCCATGATATTCTTTGATCTGTAATTCTGGAAAATCAGTCTTAAGAGCACGAACAATTTCTTGTAAATCCTTTCTGAAATGACAGATGAGCGATGCGCTTTTCCAATTCTCAAAAGGTAGTAAAGACATCTGCTTGATCCAGTTCCATAGTTCAGTTAATATAGTTTCTTTATTAGAAGCCAAGTGGAATGTCTTACCTTTCTAAGGCTGATAAGTATTGTAAATAATAAAGAGAGATATATCCTTACGAAGGGCCTTAATCCATTCAATATTAAGGTCAGTTAGGTCATTATCTATCACAATAATGCGCCTAGCCTCTTGGATTAATTTATATAATTTCTCTATTGATTGTCCAGCCAAATGACTCTATGCCTGAGCAATTATAGACACTATTTCATTGAGCTATAAGTCATATTGTATTAGGAAACATTTATATTTTTTACTACATTTACAATTATTAATAATACAATGTAAACTCTCTATCTGGCATACTACCCTCTTGTGATCAGGTAGATTTATATTATCATTGATATCACAATATGACTTAAGATTAAGGCTGATAGTAACAGTATTCGAATAGGAGTAGTGCGTAAATAGTACTAGCAAATTCACATCATCAGATATAATAATATGCTCAAGAACATATGTTTTCCCTGTTTCCCAAGGTGACCCTACATAAATATTGCCTTTATTCAGCAATGGTCTTACATATCTCTCCTTGTATGTTTCTGTAGCCGTAAGTGCTTCATTATACTTGACTCAAGATGGTATTTTTACAAAAGCTTTAAGGAAACTTGAATCCTTTATTCTGTGAGATGTGGGAGATAAATTTTTATTTTCTTGCTGAATTTTTTCTGCAATAGATGGGTCACATTCAAAAACCTTCCTGCGCTCATCACTATTCTGCGAAAATATTTTATAATAAATTTCCCACTGCTAGCATATACACGACCGAACCACCGCTGATTCTTGTCATGTATACGTTTGCAGAGTAGGCATTCCAGTGGAGCTTTTCAGTTAAAATATACGAAGTTTTCTGAGTCCTTTTCTTCAATAGTCCAATCCCTAAGATAATTGAAATGCTTTTGTAAAACTAGGTTCGTATGTTTTTGTAATATATCCGAACCTACAGATATTCTTAGCAGAATATTATTTTTTTCTATGCTAAGTATTCTAGAACTCACTTCAAGTCTTAAACTAGAGGGCAGTTGGACCCTAACGTGATCAAGTTCATTCCACCCATTATCTAATGAGAACTGAAAAATATGCTTTATACAGCTTTTTTTTGCTGAACCAATTAGGCGAAGGATAAAATTTTGATCAGGCAATCCTCTATCAATATACTTGCCGACTTTTTCACTAGTTATGATATATACTAATTCAGTAAATGCTTTGAGTTCGTGATAATCAATAAAAAGAGCTGGAGCATATAAAATATGGTAGCTACACTTGCTAGGGTCTGATGATATAGCAATTAACAATCCTTTGAGAATATCTTTCCAACTATAGTCGAGAATTCAATACAAGGCTCTTATGAAAGATAGGCAGATTCGAATAAATACTTCTTGCATCTTAATACCAGTTGTTTTCATATCTTCCTATAGAGCATCTATGTTAATCACAGCTCTTAAAGGTTTTTAACCATTAATATATTCATGAATCCCTGACAAACCATATACTTCAGAAATATCATCTGCAACGGAAAACTTTGGAACTCGATCACCAACTTGGTCAATTTTGATAACCAATTTATTTTCTACTTCATTTTAATCATAAACATTATATAAACTAGACTCCTTTTCATTCGGAAAGAGAAATGAATAAATTGGAAGACATTCCAATCATCTTTATCATTTGACATATCCCTAGGTGGTGATGAGAAAATTTCCCGAATAACACTTACCAAATCCCTGGAAGAAAAATTATTATTAAATTCTTCCTGTTTTAAAGAGTATGACACATTAGTATTTTGTTTTATATTGGATAGCTGGACTAATGGAGTCTCAGTAATACTGGTTGAAGTGCAAGGAGCTTCTTTATTTTTAGACTCATAATTAAACTCGTAGTTATTATAATCGTCTGATCCACAATCAGATTCATTATCACTATAACTATCTAAGTCACTCAAGTATTCATCGGGGCTGGCGTTATTATAATAAATGAAAGGGCCAGTTTCACGACTTTGATTAGAAGTAGTTGGGGTATGCATATCATCAGTAGGTAAAACTTTATATACTCCAATATACTTTCGAAATGTTTAAATATTTTTTTTGATAGGTGCAAAAAAGAAGGGATAGCAAACTTAATTGGTAAATCGTAAAAGAAAGGCATTCAGATATACATCTAAAAATGAAGTCTTCTTCAGAATCTTTATATAAAATATTGGAAGAAGACTTCACTTTTCTAGATACGTACTCAGGTGTTAATAGACACTTAGTGTAGCCTTCTGCGTAATTCTTATATAAAATATTGGTAGAAGGCTACACTTTTCTAAATATGTACTTAGGTATATGTAGGTATAGCCTCCATGATTTATCCTTTCTAGATATACATCTGAACATGATATAAAGGCTTCTTCAGAAATATTAGCACTTGGCTACCCTAACACTAGTATGAATTTGGGTAAGTGGTATGTTTCCTTTGGCTCAAATATGGCTGAAAACATACTGGAAATACAATATAAATGCGCTTAAATATTTTGAACTTTAGGACGTGAAATCATCATACTTGAAAGAAGACTATCCTATTACTAGTATGTATCTGGATATATGTGGGTATTTAGAATAAGCTAGTATAGATCTAGATATATACAATAAATATTGAATATTTAGACCTAGGTAGCAAATCATAAATGAAAGGAAAGCAGATATGTAGCTGAAAATATGAAGCCTTCTGCAGAATTATATTATATAAAAATGGCAGAAGGCTTCACTTTTCTAGTCATATACTCAGATATGATATGACATCTAAGGTAGTCTTCTTCGAAATTATATAATATAAAAATGGAAGAAGACTACCCTGTCATTAGTGATGCCCCCAAAAATTAGCATACACATTGCCTCAATCCAGTTTAGACTATGATCGGGTCTCAGAAGTGCTTATAACATCCTGCCAATATACCGACAACAAATAGGATTGTAGGATGATGCATTTTTTATAATCAAATAGACTGGCCATAGTACTGGCTTCAATCACTCAAATCATGTGCCTAAAAATCAGCTGTCATCCTAATAGTCAAATAACTCAGATATGGTCCCTCGAAAGTTGTGAGAAAGTTATGAGAAAAAGTGCTGAGAAAGTGCCTGGAACTCAAGACGTAGTAAATTATGATCACCTGATATTACACATATTTTCGCTGAATGTTATCTGATACTAAGCACTTTGGGATCACTATCATCATGGCGCTGTCAACATTTGAAATCGATCTTACTACGCCGATCATTAGCGACCAATAGAATGATGATGTAATAAGCGTGACCAATACTGTGCCAAATGATCTGCATAATTTCGGATTTTGATGATTCTTAGGATCCATAGGATTCTGGGAATTCGTAGGATTCTTAGGATTTACTGGATTCTTTAGATTATCCTAATTCGTTAGATTTCCCTAATTCCTTGTATTCCCATTATTTTAATTATTATCGTTATTTTTATTATTTTTATTATTTACTTGTAGTTACAAATTTAGTTAGTTTATAACATAGCAATTAGTTAGCTGTAGCAAATTAATTTTGTATAAATAGAATAGCTTTTTGCTCATGTTATAAAATAACTCTCTTGTAAGTTCAAAAATACTTGTTAGTTTCAAATAATAAAGGAATCAAATTTTAAAATAAAAATACTTTTCCCTTTTACGTGTCCATCATCTAGGATTTGATCATGAACCACTACACTAACTTGCGATTGAGTTTATCACTTACAATATATAAATTCTCTAAATTTCCTAAGTCCCTAAACCCTTAAGTTCGTAAACCAAGTGAAGTAATTTCAAGGCATTCTGGATACCTGTAGGATATAAAATTCCCTAAAGTTGTAAAGTCTGATGATAAGGAAGTTACTTACTGTAGCAAAGAAACTTAGATATATTACGAGAAGTAATCAAAGAAGATTATTTCCGGTGACAATATATAATTTTTATGAAAATTCAATATATTATACATGTTTTTTCATTAGGTAAAAAACTTAAAGTTAATATGAAAATGTGGAAAAAACCATATACAAAAAACATGTATAAAGCATATATTTCATAGTTAATAAACTTGTACAAAAAATATGTATAAAACGTATATTTCATAATTAATAAACGTGTTCAAAAAACATGTATAAAACATATATTTTATAATTAATAAACGTGTTCAAAAAACATGTATAAAGCATATATTTCATAGTTAATTAACATGTTCAAAATCATGTTGTCAACGTTTGAAATCGACCTTACTGCGCCGATCATTAGCGACCAATGGAATGACGATGTAATAAGCATGACCAATATTGTGCCAAATGATCTGCAAAATTCCAGATTTTGATGATTCTTAGGATCCACAGGATTCTGGGGATTTGCAGGATTCTTAGGATTTACTGGATTCGTCAGATAATTCTGATTCGTTAGATTTTCATAATTCCTCGTATTTCCATTATTTTCAGTATTATCATTATTCTTCTTATATTTATTATTTTTATTATACTTATTATTATCGTTATAATTATTATCATTATTATAT